GACTATAGACTAGACTATAGACTAGACTATAGACTAGACTATAGACTAGACTATAGACTAGACTATAGACTAGACTATAGACTAGACTATAGACTAGACTATAGACTAGACTATAGACTAGACTATAGACTAGACTATAGACTAGACTATAGACTAGACTATAGACTAGACTAGACTAGACTATAGACTAGACTATAGACTAGACTATAGACTAGACTAGACAAGACTAGACAATAGACTAGACTCTAGACTAGACTATAGACTAGACTATAGACTAGACTATAGACTAGACTATAGACTAGACTATAGACTAGACTATAGACTAGACTAGACTAGACTATAGACTAGACTATAGACTAGACTATAGACTAGACTATAGACTAGACTATAGACTAGACTATAGACTAACTATAGACTAGACTATAGACTAGACTATAGACTAGACTATAGACTAGACTATAGACTAGACTATAGACTAGACTATAGACTAGACTATAGACTAGACTATAGACTAGACTATAGAATAGACTATAGACTAGACTATAGACTAGACTATAGAATAGACTATAGACTAGACTATAGACTAGACTATAGAATAGAATAGGACTATAGACTAGACTATAGACTAGACTATAGACTAGACTATAGACAGACTATAGACTAGACTATAGAAAGACATAGACTAGACTATAGACTAGACTATAGACTAGACTATAGACTAGACTATAGACTAGACTATAGGGCTAGGACTACTAGACTATAGACTAGACTATAGACTAGACTAATAGACTAGACTATAGACTAGACTATAGACTAGACTATAGACTAGACTATAGACTAGACTATAGAACTAGACTATAGACTAGACTATAGATAGACTATAGACTAGACTATAGACTAGACTATAGACTAGACTATAGACTAGACTATAGACTAGACTATAGACTAGACTATAGACTAGACTATAGACTAGACCTAGACTAGACTATAGACTAGACTATAGACTAGACTATAGCTGACTATAGACCTAGACTATAGACTAGACTATAGACTAGACTATAGACTAGACTATAGACTAGACTATAGACTAGACTATAGACTAGAATATAGTACGAGACTATAGACTAGACTATAGACTAACTATAGACTAGACTATAGACTAGACATAGGACTAGACTAAGACTAGACTTAGACTAGACTATAACTAGACTATAGACTAGACTATAACTAGACTATAGACTAGACTATAGACTAGAACAGATAGACTAGACTATAGACTAGACTATAGACTAGACTATAGACTAGACTATAGACTAGACTAGAGACTAGACATAGACTAGACTATACATAGACTAGAACTATAGACTAGACTATAGACTAGACTATAGACTAGACTATAGACTAGACTATAGACTAGACTATAGACTAGACTAGAGACTAGACTATAGACTAGACTATAGACTAGACTATAGACTAGACTATAAGACTAGACTATAGACTAGAACTATAGACTAGACTATAGACTAGACTATAGACTAGACTATAGACTAGACTATAGACTAGACTATAGACAGACTATAGACTAGACTATAGACTAGACTATAGACTAGACTATAGACTAGACTATAGACTAGACTAGACTAGACTAGAGACAAACTATAGACTAGACGATAGACTAGACTAGAGACTAGACTATAGACTAGACTATAGACTAGACTATAGACTATACTATAGGCTAGACTATAGACTAGACTATAGACTAGACTATAGACTAGACTAGACTAGACTATAGACTAGACTATAGACTAGACTATAGACTAGACTATAGACTAGACTATAGACTAGACTATAGACTAGACTATAGACTAGACTATAGACTAGACTATAGACTAGACTATAGACTAGACTATAGACTAGACTATAGACTAGACTATAGACTAGACTATAGAATAGACTATAGACTAGACTATAGACTAGACTATAGAATAGACTATAGACTAGACTATAGACTAGACTAGAATAGACTATAGACTAGACTATAGACTAGACTATAGAATAGACTATAGACTAGACTATAGACTAGACTATAGAATAGACTATAGAATAGACTATAGACTAGACTATAGACTAGACTATAGACTAGACTATAGACTAGACTATAAACTAGACTATAGGCTAGACTATAGACTAGACTATAGACTAGACTATAGACTAGACTATAGACTAGACTATAGACTAGACTATAGACTAGACTATAGACTAGACTATAGACTAGACTATAGACTAGACTATAGACTAGACTATAGACTAGACTATAGACTAGACTATAGACTAGACTATAGACTAGACTATAGACTAGACTATAGACTAGACTATAGACTAGACTATAGACTAGACTATAGACTAGACTATAGACTAGACTATAGACTAGACTATAGACTAGACTATAGACTAGACTATAGACTAGACTATAGACTAGACTATAGACTAGACTATAGACTAGACTATAGACTAGACTATAGACTAGACTATAGACTAGACTATAGACTAGACTATAGACTAGACTATAGACTAGACTATAGACTAGACTATAGACTAGACTATAGACTAGACTATAGACTAGACTATAGACTAGACTATAGACTAGACTATAGACTAGACTATAGACTAGACTATAGACTAGACTATAGACTAGACTATAGACTAGACTATAGACTAGACTATAGACTAGACTATAGACTAGACTATAGACTAGACTATAGACTAGACTATAGACTAGACTATAGACTAGACTATGACTAGACTATAGACTAGACTATAGACTAGACAAGACTATAGACTAGACTATAGACTAGACTAGACTAGACTATAGACTAGACTATAGACTAGACTATAGACTAGACTATAGACTAGACTAGACTATAGACTAGACTATAGACTAGACTATAGACTAGACTATAGACTAGACTAGACTATAGACTAGACTATAGACTAGACTATAGACTAGACTATAGACTAGACTATAGACTAGACTATAGACTAGACTATAGACTAGACTATAGACTAGACTATAGACTAGACTATAGACTAGACTATAGACTAGACTATAGACTAGAATATAGACTAGACTATAGACTAGACTATAGACTAGACTATAGACTAGACTATAGACTAGACTATAGACTAGACTATAGACTAGACTATAGACTAGACTATAGACTAGACTATAGACTAGACTATAGACTAGACTATAGACTAGACTATAGAAGAATAGACTAATATAGACTAGACTATAGACTAGACTATAGACTAGACTATAGACTAGACTATAGACTAGACTATAGACTAGACTATAGACTAGACTAGACTATAGACTAGACTATAGACTAGACTATAGACTAGACTATAGACTAGACTATAGACTAGACTATAGACTAGACTATAGACTAGACTATAGACTAGACTATAGACTAGACTATAGACTAGACTATAGACTAGACTATAGACTAGACTATAGACTAGACTATAGACTAGACTATAGACTAGACTATAGACTAGACTATAGACTAGACTATAGACTAGACTATAGACTAGACTATAGACTAGACTATAGACTAGACTATAGACTAGACTATAAACTAGACTATAGACTAGACTATAGACTAGACTGTAGACTAGACTGTAGACTAGACTATAGACTAGACTGTAGACTAGACTATAGACTAGACTGTAGACTAGACTGTAGACTAGACTATAGACTAGACTAGAGCCTATAGTCTAGTCTATTGTCTAGTCTATAGTCTAGTCTAGACAATAGACTAGACTATAGGGGGCGTAAGCAATGAAAATAATGAGGGTTTCGAAGACTACCCTTAAACTCGTTGGGATATATAATGTTCAATATATACATAATCCGTGAAGTGAAAAGTGACATAGTTGATTTTGAAGTTGATAACTGAAAATGGTCAACGAAGATAACCAGTTATTGAGATATTTTTGCCATTGTGTCGTCACTAATTTTGTCAGATGAGAATATTTTACTATCACCTGCATACAACACTATGGAAACTGCTTATTGAGGTTCAAAAAGAAGAGAAGATATATGTTGAAGAATATCTGTCATGGCCATTTCTAACTTTCGGTAGTTGCAATTCCGACATCTGCTGCAAACATTGTTTGTAATCCAGCTTTTCACTTCATTAAAAATGTAGTTCAAGAAGTTGTTTATCAGCGTGACATAATCGATCGTATCAAAAACTAAGTATAAATACAGAGCTTCAGCAATAGTGCGTTGACTGCTGATGATTGAGGACGTCTGAATAGTTATAAAGTTTAAATTCTTAGAAGCTATAATGGTGCATCGTGAGCATCTTTAACAACTGCATTGAGATAACATCAGAAATAACGATTGATTTAAAGATAATGTATTCGGGTTTAGCAGCAGTGAACTTAGTTTCGCCATTTCTGGCATCTGTGAATTGCTTATCGATAAAGCCGTCAACGGCTATATTCTTATTACTCTTGGAATTAGATAGATTTGCAATATTAGACCAGAGCTTTTACGTAAAAACTATACAAAATCTCTATATGATTTTCTTTGTATTTTTTATTTAATAATTATAGTCTTTTAAATAAACAGTTTTATTGATGCTCGTAAAGTTTGAAATAAATCAATACTTAATTTAAAATTAAAATCTGTTATGTTTCAAAATATAACGTTTAAAATTAACCGAATGTGTACCTATTTTTTTAATTAATTAATACCATTATAAAGTTTTATATGTCGGTATCTTTTACCAAAAAAAAATATTTATTTTATCTTGCAAAAGTATTCCATATCTCATCTCGTGATTATAATTCCACAATTTATTAATAATTTACAAGTTATTTTATTTCAAATTTGTTGCATTTTAAAATGAATCCTTTTTCACCAAAAACAATTAAGTACATAAATAAATACAACATAAATAAATGGATATGTTAGAAAAAATGTGTATTACCTTATTTGGTTATAAATGTTGTTTGGATGGGGGTAGTAATTTGCCCTAATTCAAAGTGCGGAACAACTGGTGACTGCTCAGGTGGTCTGTTAATTTCTATTTACTTAAGAACTTCGCCAACGAGTTGTCTGGTCCTTAAATTGTCCTTGAATCTAAAATTGTTAATAACTAAAAGTTACCAATGCAGAAAGATATGGCTGAGTGGCAGTAGGTGGTAGATTTTAGCAACAGTACCTTAAAAAAAACTCCAATCCAATTAGTAAATTTGTTGTTTTTGTTATTTTGTTTGACATTTGTCGCAATGTGTTGGTTAATTTAGGGATGGCAGTTTGACAATTAGAGATTGGTGTAAGGTTAATCGATATATTAGCGCACAGTGTAACAAGTTGAGTTTTTGTATTGGGCTCAAATCCGGTAACAGTAATACCAAGATCACACGAGCAGTTGAATTACTTAATTCGGCCTCTGAATGATGATAGCCAATTAACCCGTTTCAGCGGCTCATTCGTAAATAATTTTGACAGTTCATCACCATTTTGTTTCTTTTCCATTCATTATTTTTTGGAATACATGTGTTTGTATGATACAAATATACGCGTGTTACTTTATTTTAACAAATTAAGTAATATATTTACTGTTTATTTTATTATTAATTTGTGATAAATAATCTATAAAAATTAGCGATAACACTAATTTGTCCGTAATTCGTAGGTAATTCAAAGAAAAAAAGCTGCATGTTGTACACCTCGGGTCATTTTGATCTTTTTTAATATTTTTCTTTCATTGTTGGTGAAATTTATTTCATTTTAGTTTATTTTTATTCTACACAAAACAAACTACAACCCTGATCAGTTGCAGCGTTGAAAGTTGCTGATCTTTTCGTGGCAGACGCGTTACAATCTACAGCCTGTTACTTGTTAAATGAAAATACACTAAGAACAGCTTGTGTAATTCACAGCTGAAATTGGGGATTGAATGACGAATGAGAGCGTAAATGACGAATAATTGCTTCGGTTTATAATGCTCTTATACGAAATTCAAAATCCAATTCCCAACCATGTAATATTTGCTATACAAAATTTCAACTGCGAATTGCACAAGCTGTACAACAACAATAATTCAGAGCGCGAATTAAATAATTCCACTGGCCGGGAGGAGAAGGCAAAATAGAAAAAAATAAAACCAAATATAATTATCAAAAAATGTCTCACCTCTAACTTATCGATTACATACACATCATTAAAAAACTAAAATGTCATCACATCGTTTGCTTCTTCCCTCATTCCATCTTTGACAATAAGAATAAGTGTCAAAGGGAAATAGAAAAAAAGTAGTTTGTGAGAAATGCAGCAACACCCGTTTAAAATTTTAATAAATTAATTGATTTCTAAGAAAATATAAACAAAAACTTTATAATTAAACACAAAAACAACAAATAAATTTACTACAGCAAAGAGTGAAAATAAAATTACAACACTAATGTCAATAACCGTAAGTTCATAAAAAAAATAAAACATCAGACTAAAGAAAAAATGTAAATTTTCTACGCGAAGAAAGGAAATTGTCGAAGTGCGTGAGATAAAAAAGGTTGAACAGCAAAAAAATAAGTAGAAATAGAAAAAGAGGTGACGACAAGATAACCAATTGCCGAATAGTTGGAAAAAAAATTAAAAAATAAATTTAAAATGTAAAATATTGCATGTAAATTAACTGTTAATGTAAAGGATTTAGTAAAAACCAACAAAAGTAGTTTAAAAACAAACGAAAAATGATGACCACACAGGTAGGTAGTTAGTTAAATGTTAGATTGATAGCTGAGGCAAGACAACTTGGCTTAATTTAACTTTGGCCAAGACAAGTTGTGAAGTAGAAATATAAAAAAACATGCAATCTGTGTGTGTGTCAAACAGTTAAAATAAAACGACAACTACAATAGTAACAAAAGTAATAATCATATTTATTTTTTATAAAAAACAAGGTCATAATGCCTTTTTGGGCAGAACTAAAAACTACAAATTGTTATAAACAAAACTAGCAAAAAAACTGTAAAATTATTCACTCGGTATATGTTTAGAAACAATGGCCTGATTTTGTTTTTATTTTTCTATTTAAAAACATTTACTTTATAACACTTTCCATTTTATTGCAATTTTACTAGAGTTTTGTGGGTTTCTTTTTCTAATTTTTGTGAGTTTTTTCTTCGACAAAATAGTATACAAAAACCTTTTATGACGTCTCCACTTCCAGCTTTCGTTTATCAAACTTTTACTCCACTTGTGCTGCTGCCGCTGCTCTTTTCTTGTTGATCTCATTTTACTTTTGTTTGTGTTCTCTTAAATTTTATTACACAAAGTGTCAAATCTAAAATATATCTTTTGTTTGTTTTTTATTTTCTTTTCAGTTATTGAGAGGTGGCAAGCAAAAAACAAAATCTTGTGTAGGAATGACCGTGATGTCCAAGACTTCAATAGCGGAAATATGTGAGAATGCCAAGTTGGCCAGAGATATGGCTTTGACCGGTAATTATGACTCGGCCTCTATATACTATGAAGGCTTACAGGGTCTATTGGCACGCATGATTTCCTCAACCAATGATCCGCTTAGAAAAGGAAAATGGACTATGGTAAGTTTTTATTGTTTGATATTAAACTGGGCAAGTCCTTTGAATGGACTTTAGATAAGTATATTTTCTCGAATATGGAGTTATCTATAGATTAATCTATTGACTAACTATAGACTAGACTATTGACTAGTCTAGAATATTGACTAGTCTATAGACTAGACTATTGACTAGTCTATAGACTAGAATATTGACTAGCCTATAGACTAGACTATTGACTAGTCTATAGGCTAGACTATTGTCTAGAATATTGACTAGTCTAAAGACTAGACTATTGACTAGTCTATAGACTAGACTATTGACTAGTCTATAGACTAGACCATTAACTAGTCTGTAGACTACATAAGTCTATTTCCTCGACTATGATTAGTCTATAGACTAGAATATTGACTAGTCTATAGACTAGAATATTGACTAGTCTATAGACTAGACTATTGACTAGACTATTGACTAGTCTTTGGACTAGACTATTGACAAGTCTATAGACTACACTATTGACTAGTCCATAGACTAGACTATTGACTAGTCTGTAGACCAGACTATTCACTAGTCTATAGACTAGACTATTGACTAGTCTATAGACTAGACTATTGACTAGTCTATAGACTAGACTATTGACTAGTCTATAAACTAGACTATTGACTAGTCTATAGACTAGACTTGACTAGTCTATAGACTATTACTAGTCTATAGACTATTGACTAGTCTAAAGACTAGAATTTATATTGGCCTATGATTAGTGTTAGTTTATTGACAGGTGTGTCCATCTGTTTGGGGAATAGTCTAATCTATGAAGAACACATTAGACAAGTCTATTGACTAGAATATTGTTCAGTCTATGCACTTTTCTATTGAATAATCTTGGGATTTGCAATAGTCTGTTAACTTACTCCAAAGACTATTCTTATCACTAATCTATTGACTAGACTACTTTCTAGTCACTTGGTTATTCTGTGGTCTAGTATATGACTGGCAATTGACTATTTACAAGTCTATCAGTATTAATACTATTGTCCCTTATCCCTAATTTCAATACGTATTTCTCTTTTAGGTTAAACAGCAAATCACCAAGGAATATTCTCAAATTAAGGAAATTCAACGAACCTTATCTGAGATGACTTTGGATTTACAGAGTTCACAGTTTGCTTCGAAATTAAGAACACAAACCAGTGAAACAGAAACTAAAGATCCTTCATCGTGGTTTCGTCCCGATCCTGATATATGGACACCTCCACCCAAGGATCCTGATGTCTGGGGACCACCAAGACCAGAAAAGTATGTTCACAAAAAACACAAAAATGATCAATTAAAATTATTATGCATATTTATATGTTTCTTACTAATAATCACCCCCCATTGTAGACCCGCTATTCCAAATCGTAATCGCAATGTGACTGGTAAAAAATCCATACCCACAAAAAGCACAATTCCTACACGTAATAGTGCCTCTAGTAATGGTTTTAATAAGAAATCCACAACAGCAACATCATCCTCAGCACGATCAACAAATTCACGTACATCAAATGCAAATCAACGTAAATCAGCAGCAGCATCATCATCATCGAGTAATAATAATGCTTCCAACAATAAAGATGATAACAATTCAAATAAAGATAATGATGAAGCCAGAGATGAAGAGTCACCCGATCAAGATGATAAAGAAGAAAAGAAATTTCAACCTAATAATCATATTGAAGCAGAATTGGTTGATATTTTAGGTAAATGAACATAAACAATATATATATATTTTTTATAAATTCAATTCAGATTAACTATTTATTTTTGATTTTAACTATAGAACGCGATATTTTACAACGTAATCCTAAAATACGTTGGAATGATATTGCCGATTTACATGATGCTAAACGTTTGCTAGAAGAAGCTGTTGTATTGCCCATGTTAATGCCTGATTATTTTAAGGTGAGTTTGTTAAACATATCTAGATTTCTTGTTTTTGCTTTAATAACTACTTTCGTTTTTTTTATTGTTTCCATTTATTTGTTAAAATAAACTTATTCATCATTATCTGTTAGCTTATTAATATTCTTAAATGTTTTGTTTAAAACAAAACCTGCTAAATGCAATCACGTTTGTTAACGTCACGATTAATTTATGGCCGCCAATAATGCCATACTAAAATTAGTACATATACGTAATTATATTTATTTTGTTTACAATTTTATTTTGTTTAATTTTAAGATTATTTGTACGATTGCAGTTAAAACAATTGTTATTCGTATGCATTTTTATCATTTCAATTTTTAATTGCCTCCCTAGTTCAAGCTTTATAATGTAAGGTAAAGGTTAATATTATAGGTTTGTCATTGCATTTGTAATTTCTGCAATATTTATTTTCCATCCGATTTTTCTTTATCTATATTCCATAATAAATGGCGTAATACATTCGCTGCAGCTATTTAAAGCCCTCATATCTTAATTGCAATGAGTATTTCGACATAGTATTATCTTATTTTAATGGTTCCATACGTTTTCCTTGGACTTATTTGATGTATTTGTCATTCTTTGATAAATTAAAGCGATGAGTTAATTGTTTAATTTAAAATGAAGTCATGGATGATTAAGAAACGTACTAAAATAGTAATAAGATAAGGATTTCATAGAAAGACATATAAACTAACTAAACTACCACTACCCACAACTTTCTCCGTTACATTGGTGAATCCTATCATCGTCTTGGGTGTTATTGTAATCCGGTAGTTGTTGTTGTAACAGTTAAAACTATACAATAATCTAGTTGGTGGGTTCCAC